AGACACAGAGACAGAGAGAGAGACAGAGAGAGAGACAGAGAGAGAGACAGAGAGAGAGCGAGAGAGCGAGAGAGCGAGAGAGAGATAGCGAGAGAGCGAGAGCGAGAGCGAGAGTGAGAGCGAGAGCGAGAGCGAGAGCGAGAGAGACAGAGACAGAGACAGAAACAGAGACAGAGAGACAGAGAGACAAAAAGATACGCAGAGACTCCCGCAACCGGCAGCAAGACCCGCTCGGATAGACGGCCCCGCCAGGAAATCGCGGAAGCCGTTGTTGGTCATCCACATGTTGCGCCTTTATCGCGACAGGCTGCCCCAGGTTCCCGTAAGGTGATCTTCGCTGGCAGAAAGTTCTCGTGCAGCACTTGAGGTTTGGACTGGATGTAGTCGTACATTCCGCTCATTCGCCCCACCAGTGACCTGACGAAGATTCCATGATGCGACAATAGCTTTCTTCTCGACCGAGCTCCCGGCCACAGGTGTGGCTTTTCAATCTGATCCTCGGTGATGCCACGGAGGAAAGGAACCCAGTCCTGATCATTCACACAAACTCAACGCTCAAGCCGAGGACGGGCATGGACGATACTTCAACAAGCCGGTGCCTTCATTCCGCCCTTGATCATGATGACTCCATCTTCCTGTACCGGGTGCATGCGGTGCAGAAAACACAAATACTGCTCGTGAGAGGGTGCTGCCACAGGCCTCAAACTGCTGGATCTGCTCTTCGCTGACGGCAAGGCGCTGACCCACCTCCCAAACATGTGTCGTGATATTTGCCATCGCCAAGACGGCAGCAGAAAAAATGAGGCCTGGCCCTCCACCACTCCCGCGGGCAAGGGCACTTCCGGAGCCTTCACGAGAAGAATGGCGCAAAGGAGGCTCTGCAGACAGGTTTGACTCCCACATTAGCAGGCGACACTGAAATCGGGCGGCCAAATTATGCTGCCCCACGCTAACACCCCACAATGCCCGCAGTGCCAGGAGAACGAAAGACAGCATTGGAACTTGCAATTTGTAGTACTTCGTAGTCGTCGTCGTCGTGCTACTGCTACTGCTACTGCTACTGCTGCTGCTACTGCTACTGCTACTGCTACTGCTACTGCTACAACAACAACAACAACTACTACTACTACTACTACTACCAGTAGTAGTAGCAGTAGTAGTAGTAGTAGTAGTAGTAGGAGCAGCAGCAGCAGCAGCAGGAGGAGGAGGAGGAGGAGTAGTAGTAGTAGTAGTAGTGGTAGTGTAGTGGT